CCGCGCACGCCCGCGCCCCCGCCCTTCTTGGATGCAATGGACGAAGGAGCCGAGTTAGGCTGGAAGCTATCATGATCACATGGCAGAACCATCGAGAGCACCAGCGTTGTCGGCGAGAAATGCGTAGTCAATTATCAACAGTAGGACCAAGGCAAGCACCCGACTAATACTCCCCCCACCCACCCCCTATACCCCCCGGGTGCCGCCGCAGCTTCTCCTGTTGTGCGTGCCGTTGTGGTCACGCTTGCATGCGATGTATCGCCCCGCGCCCCGCCCCCCCCTGTAAGGTTGTGCTCACTCGACGAAAAGTTGGCTTGCCCCCCGCTAGCCAGGCTTGTCGGCTGTCAATCATCAAAGGTGCTTGTAGGTCTCTGCTTTGTAGGGGTTCGGGTCAGTAGCTTTCATCAATGCCTCGATCATGCGTGGTAGCGATTAACACAGCGCCTCCCCCCCCTTTTCCCTTCCCCGTTTTCCGCGCCCCCTGCCCTTCTTTTTTTTTCCCGCATCGTCTCCTTCAGGTGGTGGCGGCAGACGAAAAGGAGGCAGGCTTGCGAGCGACGCTAAACCTGGGACACACGTTCGGCCACGCGATCGAGGTGTGTATGCATGGCTCGACCGTCGCGGTCTGACTCCGCTGAATCGCGTCGCAAAATGATTTTGTTTCGATTGCCAGAGTCGGCCTCTGCCTGTTGGTGCTATCCCCGAGTGTGCATTCGGATCTGGCGAAAGATTCTTCTTGGCACCCGCCCTCGTCTAAAATAGCTTCGAGTTAGTGTCCCATCTCATCTCACGCGTCATGCCTCTCCTCTTCTTTTGGGGGTGTATGCTCGCCTTGTTCGTTTGACCAGCGCAAGGTTATGCGTAACGGTCCCCTCATCTTCACGACGATGTCGTACCTGGTACCGATGTCTTGCTCTCTCCCAGTGGATCCGAAAATATAGTACTGCGAAAAGGTTCTGCACCCCCTAGGGGAAAAAAAAAAGCACAGACCGGGTTCGGGGGTAAGACCATTCGAGTGATGCTGCTTCTCTATATGATTTAGCCCCCGATACTCCCTCCAGGCCACGGCACCAGCTGCTGCCGGCCGTCGTGATTTACATTCCTGTTTGGGTATGTACATCCCTGCCCCATGCGTTGGGTGGCAGTCCACATGTATCTACCACGGCGGTTGGAAACAGAAGCAACTTGAACGGATTGCCGTCGCTTTTTTCGTTGACCAAAAACGTAAACCAGACTGGCTTGGGGTACGGCAAGCTCCTCCACGGAGAAGCGGTGGCAATCGGCATGCATATGGCGGCCGACATGTCTTGCCGCATGGGTTGGGTGGACCAGGAGCTCGTGGACAGGAGCGTGGCGCTCATGGAAAAGGCGGGGCTACCGGTGGAGCTGCCCAAAGGGGGCGGGATGGACATGGACAAGTTCTTGACTGTAAGTGTTGACATTGGGGTGTTGTATTGATGGCAAGGCTTCGCCACATTCCGGGCTCACGGTCAGTGCAATCCCAAGTCGTGCATCGCCCACACGGTTTTCCTTCAAGAATCAAGCGCAAGTTGGCGTTGTCAAGTTTCATCCACGGACTCATGCTTCAGGCGAAGTTGTTTGCACATCCACGATTTGCATCCTGGGCCGGCAAGTGCAACCGTTTTGCAAGTCACGCTTGCGCAACGGGGTTCTTGAAACACGAAGCAGCCGAATCAGGAGCCATATTTTACTGTTGATTCCTGTTCACACAGATAATATGTACATGTCCTGATTTGGGTATTGTACTTGAAACAACGCAATCCCATGTAGCTCCTTCCATTCTTAATAGAGATCTCAACCTACGAAATTATCAACACTGAAACTTGCCAGAATTTTGGAATTCCTCAAATTTTCAGAATTTTCGAAACAGAACGCCCGTTGCCTTTTTTCGGTTTTTCCGTAACTGTCGTGGTCAACTATGGCATCGTTAATAACCTAGGCAATGGCCGTGGACAAGAAGGTAGCCGACGGGGAGCTGCGGCTGATACTTCTCAAGGGGGACCTCGGGGGGTGCGTCATGACGGGGGAATTCGACGAAGCCGCCATGAGGGCCACCATCCAAGACTTCTGCGATCGACAATGACGAATGGATGGAAGAGGGATGGTCGAGTGAGCTCCCCCAGGCTGAAGATGAAGCGGTGCGATGCGCCAAGCGGCCCTGGGCAGTCCAACCGTAGGAGCGATACAAGAAGCACAAGCGGTCATCGAGAGTCAAAACATTTGACATACGATTGAGGCCAAAACACACACATCGGTCGCCCATAGATATAGTCCAAGCGGTAGACACGAGTGTAACGAAAGCTACAGATTCTGTCTGTACTTACAAAACTCTTGGAGGCGTATCGTGGTGGTGGCGACGGTGCCGGCGACTCTCTTGCTGCAAACGGCGACCCAACTACAGGACCGCACCGTCCGGAACTCTGCTGCTGCCATCAGCGACGACGATGGATTTCAGCTTCTGTCGGTGTCGTCTTGAGACATCAGCGTTTGGGGCCGACTTCACCCAAAGTTGGCTTTTCCGGGAGAAGGAAGAGTAGTAAGTGTGGGCGCTGCTTTGTCTGATCAAGAATATCGAAGCAAGCGCCTTCGAAAATCGATCTGCAATCACACCTGCTACCTCTCCCCGGTGTTTATACGTGAGAGTGAGGGGCACCAGCCCATCGCACACTTTGGCATGATGATACGCTGCCTTTGACCGTGTGCGTGCGTTGTCAAGACGGAGAGAGGGGTAGATTCAACCGCCTCGCCTTGCACGGTTCATGGCTGTTGCTTCATGCGTGTGGTCCACGCGGCGTGCATGTCGTTGTCTTCGTACAATGGTTGCCTTCCATGATGGAATTCATGAGAAAAATCAGCTTCACGCTCGAGAAGAATGGAAGATTCATCGAGCCAAGAGTCACCGCCACTCACCCCATGAACGTTGGTTGTGTAGACTCGACTACACGCTCAAAATCGCTACACCCCAAAGCCAAACTTCGAAGTTCTCAAGGGGCAAGAAGAAGAATCGAAACGAACGCATTTGATTCGCTCTTTCGCATGCGCCGGTATGGAGTAGAAGACACACATGGAAGGTGCGCGTTGAACAAACCTTGTAAATGCATCACGTATTTGAGTCTCAACACGGGGATTGCTGAGATCTGCGGCGATAGTAGCCTCTCTCCACGACGAGATGAGTATCTGCGGCGCGTGAACCCTTGTTTGGCCTTTGCTCCATCGGCCGTTTTGTTTGTATGACGGAGAATAAGAAGGTGAAATCACTTGAAATTAGTATCGAAATAAAGTTTGTGTATCTAGTCTAAATCGAAAATAAAACGGCCGATGGAGCAAAGGCCTAGACTAAACCCTTGTCGCATCAAGATCCGCTCTGTCTGCCCAAAACGTGTCGATATTGCTGTCTGTCTGTTTCTCCACGTGGCGGCAACCAAAATCTTGCCCCACACAAATATTGCTGGTGGTGATGGTCGTGGTCGTGGCACTGCTATCGTTCTTGTGACCTCCATGAACCGTCCACGTGCTCTGTCGGGGCCGCGTTCGTCCGTGGCTAAGCTTGAACAAGAAGTGGAGATCGGAGCCGCCGTTCGTTGCAGGGAGTGATGATGCTAGTAGTGGGAAGTTGTTAGGTCGAGAGGACTGAGGCTCCAGTGGACATCAGCAAAGGCAGGCTAAAAGAGTCCTACAAATCGAACCCTCTTGGCGGGGGTGTTGCCGGAAAGGGGTCGCATGGTGTGTGTCGCCATCGCACAGCAAGCAGCGCAGTTGGGTGGGAACGTCGGAACCGCCCGTTGATGTTTTATTAAAACTTTTTTGAACCAAGTGTACCCGGTACCCAATACAAACGACGAGATCTACCCACGGAGCCCCCCCGCTTCGATGAGCTTCATCCAAGACACGGGACTGGCAACCACCACAAACAACGCGCCGTTCCACGCACAACAGACAAGCTTGGCTTGGCCGGTAAGATTGCCAAGCCCTTGAAACACGTCTTCGAGCCTAGCAGCTACTGTGTAAACCGGAGCTTGCTTGTCTACAACCGTTGGTAGGTGGGCTTGGGATATGTAGACTAGACTACTGACATGGAATCGACCGGCGGTGGCTTATCGCACGTAGATATGTGTGTAGATGTGCCAGTGGGGTCGTGGGTTTGCGCGTCTCGAAGTTGCTTGCGATCAAAGTGTGTTTCTAAGGCATTCGTGGGCTGGGAACAGCAGGGAAATTGAACACTGAAAAAGGGGGGCACGCGACATCAGCCGACGCTAGGCCTGTCCTCCGTCGGCCGTTTTATTTTCGATTTAGATACACAAACTTTATTTCTATACTAATATCAAGTAATTCCACCTTCGTATTCTCCGTCATACAAGCAAAACGGCCGATGGAGGACAGGCCTAGCCGACGCGAGCTAATTGCGCCGCTTCACCTGTATCTATCCAATTGCGCCGCTTCACTTTCTCTCCAACGCTCTTTCACTCTCTCTCAACTAACTGCAATTCCCTCATAAGCTCATCATTCCAACCATAAACCCACACCTCCTAAATTCTAGTCTCCAATTCATACACTTGTCATGACCTTTTTTGACGATATCTCAACCAGAACTAACTCCAACCCTGCTCCCAGAGCCATCATTTTCAAGTCCATTCCATCACGCCTCAACATATATACTGCGATCAACCTACCCCAAGTCTTCTTACCCTGACCTAAACTAGTGTTGACTTATTGCACGACACCCCCCCCCCAGGTTCAACGCATACTTATCTGCGATCAGTCTCGTTTGAATTAACACATGACCACAACGTGCAATACCTGACCTACAACCAATGACATTCCCTTGCTACAAGTCCGAACATTAATCACCAGAAATCAACTCATGCAAAACACACACTCCAATTCCGTCACGACCGTGATACCACCGCAATATGACTCCATCACAAGGTACATTCTTTATCCAAAATAGCAATTGCTCAAACACCACATTAATTTTTTACCCGTATTACACTGCACCACTTGGCACACTTTTCCGCAGTCCTACGCACTTCAAACACACCACATAAATTTTGACCCGTATTCGACTGCACCACTTGGCACACTTTTCCGCAGTCCTACGCACTTCAAAAACACCGCATAAATTCTGATCCGTATTCGACTGCACCACTTGGCACACTTTTCCGCAGTCCTACGCACTTCAAAAACACCGCATAAATTCTGATCCGTATTCGACTGCACCACTTGGCACACTTTTCCGCAGTCCTACGCACTTCAAAAACACCGCATAAATTCTGATCCGTATTCGACTGCACCACTTGGCACACTTTTCCGCAGTCCTACGCACTTCAAATTCAAACACCTAATCACCTTCCAACTCAAACATGTACTTCTTGACACTTTTCGACGTTCGGTGTGCATGCCAGCACCACTTTCCTGGATTTTGTACCAGGTTGTCCGTCGTCAGATTCTTCTCCAGAAGCGCCACATTGATGTTTTTGCCGATGTCCACCAGCTTGATAGTATAGCTGGATGCCTTCTTCCCACCTAGGATCCGGATTCACCTGCATCACCTTCGCAAACTGCCAACCCGCCCTTGCAGTCGTAAAATACAGATATGCACCAATCATCGCCTTACTTCGAAGGCTCGGCCTACCCCGTATGTCACGACAAAGTTTGTAATCTTTCTGCACGTGTCTTTTTACCTTCCTGCTAGCAATCGTCCTTTTTGCTCCCTGAATACGATACCTCCGGTACCTTATGTTCCCTCCGGCCAATTGTTCCGGCTGCTCATTCCAACACTTAAGTACCACGTCCCCATATTGCTCCAACTCTACTTCATGCTCCCACGTACACTT